GTAAATCGCTTATATCTCACGAACTATCTAGTAAAAGTGGTCCAAACTTGGTGGGTGATCAGCATTCGATAAGAGCTATGTCCACACAAAATTAGAAGTCTCTAGCTATCATGGTTCTTGAGTTACAGGGGGGGTCGGTACTTTTGATAAGTACTGTATTTCTCATTCAGATAATTGTCTTATTATTTATCCTTTGAACATTATTCCATAGATAGATGTTTTATTTTGAAAAATTAACAACTATGTAAATCGCTGTTTTTTGTGGAAAACGTTGAAAAAAAAGTGCGCTGATACATTGTAAGTGGAACTTTTTTCACTGAACAGAAATTTCATTAGTACAACTAAATAATAACGTGCAACAAAAGTTTATAATATGAGTGTATCTCTTAAACAGAGTTTTTCACCTGACAAATGGTGCTCGTAAATTCAGTCAATCAGACCAGAGAAAGAGAACAGAAGCTGCGGAATTCTTACTAGAACAGAATTTTGTAGAGAAATGTTTTGTAAAGCTTATGAGAGGTTTCCATTGCGCCTGAACTAAAGTCCATCGAACTGCAAAGGAAGGAAGAATACTGGATCTTGTGACTACCGTTACTGATACAGGATGCTATCCGATATCTTCCCTGCAGTCAATAAGCTTAGAGGTGATCATCCATTTTACTACTGTTCATCACACTGTTACTGTGACAAGAAGTCCAGTCTGGCGCAGAGTTCTTTCGTCGAATCGTTTAAGCTAACTATACACACTTACGGACCCGATATTAGTTCTTCGGCAAGCTAAAAAAGTATGCTGTACGTCACAATGTAATAAGTATGCTATCAGACGAGTGATCCGAGACACGTAAGCACAAGTAACTTATCCAAGGTTATTGCACGATTGGATAGTTTAAATAGAAGCGTTCTGTAAATTTTCATTTCTCCACAAAATTCTGTTCTAGAAAACTTCTGACTTCATCACAATAATTTTTTCTCTCTACTACTGACTATGCGCACAATTAAAGAAAATTTTTAAAAAAACATATGAAATTAACATAAAAAAGCTTATTGCAACGAAATAATCACATGAAAAAGCACAAAAAAAAGTATTTTTTACTTTTTCAAAACATATAGACGAATGATATTACATAAAAAGAAAAAGTAGTAAAAGAACAGTGGACAAAATAAAATTAATGTTTATGAAGTCAATTCTTTGTAACATTGATCACATACACGTACAGGCTTTTTACTAGCAGCTAATGGAGTGTTTTTCGATGAACATTGATCACAAAATATATTACCACAATTCCGACAATGATGCTAAATGGAAAAATAATCCTGTTTAAACATAATATCGACTTGTTAGGTAAAACTAAATTCTGAAAAACGATTACTATTTGCAGTTTATATCCAAGGTTGCTAACTCTAATGAATACTGAAAATTATATGTCAAACTTTGAACGACGCTGTACTAACAGAAGATCTAAATCCTATGAAGACCGTATGATGCATCTAAATATTCCACTAAAAATCTTTGTATTCTCTACGATGAATATGTGTTAACACGAAACAGCATTCTATTTGGAAAAGACGGTAGTTTTGTTGATTTGAGAAACATGAAAAATATACCTTGAAGATCCTTGGTACATTGAATGCTATTTCATGAAAGAGTGTCGTAGAGAGCTCGGTGACATCTTATTTTATTTATTCAGAAATGTTTGCTGTACATGATATAGCCCTTTACAAAAACGTATTGATAGTATCTGAGACTTGGTTTTCTTAGTGATGTCTCGGAGACCTAGACTAAACAAAATTTTAATGAAATATTTATACACATCATATAAGATAAGATTGGAAACTCTCTCTGTTATTCATATCTTTCTGCAGATATGTTCTAGCTACCACGATCGAGAATAACTAAAACTAAAGGTAAGTCAATAATTTTGAGTCCTGCATAGATGAAGTCAGTTACGTGACAAATATCTTTTAGTTGACTGACCACGATTGGTATTACTTTCAAGATCTGTCCTTGTGAAAATTCTTACTAGTGTTTAAACAATGTTTGACAAACTGAAGATAACTTGTTTAAGACTCGTTAGATTAATTATCTTACTTTTCTGACCGTTACACTAAACTGTTGATTACATTTCATACAAGCAAATACATCACTATCTTCGAGCCAACGACGATTAATATGTTTGTTTGTTTGAATCTATAAGAATAATCAAAAAAACAAAGAAATGTTATTAAATATTGAGATAATTCATATTTTCTATTACTTGTAATCCTTGATATTCTCTCGCTAGTTCTTGTAATGCTGATTCGAGATCATTATTTCGTTTCAATAATTGTTGATTTTCAAATATATATTTATCATGTTTGTTTTCACTTGCTAATGAACGTTCTAGTAAAACACGACGCTCATCTTGTCCAACGATAAGTTTTGATTCAAGATCTTAATAATTGAAGAAAAATAAAAACTGACTGTATGATTATAAGAATAATGCACAACAAAATACGTTTGTTAATCTAATTGAGTAGTGTAAATACATCAGATATAATTCAGAAATCTTATTTAAATAGTTAAAGTAGTTATAACCAAATCTCAGTCATATTTTACTTCAGTATTGTCTAATAATTACAATTATTTCGTCTAACCAACATCCAGAAATGTCATTCGAATTCGAAGTAGAGCTGTGAACTTGAATTCAGGACTTTTCCATTCAAGTCAACTTTCTCAGAGAGCTTTTCCCAGTCAAGTCAGACCTGCCTACATCTCCATAGTATACGAATCATTTACGGAAATAATGAAAACTGACTCTATTTAGATGTTTAATACAATTGAAATGAAAAAGTTTGCTATAATTCAGTAGCATTTTTGTGAAAAATGTGAAAAGAAGCGACCATTAACTTGTCACCATAACTAGCACATGTATCCGAAGCGTTCATGGACTATGGAGGATCTCATTTTGTACATCTAGTTGTGCTCTTTGATACTGACGAGGAGTAAACGTTTTTGCTTCTCATTTTAATACTGTACCGATAAGTTCTACAGAACATTTTTTACAGTTTTTGAAAATCATGCAAACTCTAATCTATCGACACGAAAAATGTATCACATATCACCGGAAAAAAAATAAAGTTGGTTTAGAGTTGCTAAAAAGTGGTTTTTCGTATTCAGCACACTCGATAACCCAGAAGATTTTCTGTTTTTGATCCGAGGTACTTTCGAAAGTTTAGGAAAAGTTTTCAAATTAATATTATTTTTCCATGGAAAACTTTTTGCGCCATTTTGTTTCAAAATTTTTCTTAAATTTTCGGAAGTACCCCGAGCCAAAAATCACTTTTCAGCAACTCTAAACCAACTTTATTTTTTTTGTACCGGTGATATGGTTCTACTTCCTTTTTCATGCTCTTTCGACTGGTGCCGTCAAAAGTCAGTTAGAATGTGACAGAAAAGTAAAACATACTATAGTCTTATCATTTTATATTCGAATAGAGCACATTCGCAATGTACATATCCTAATGGTTCTTTTTTCTTTTCTTTTTTTTTAAACTTTAACTCTCATATCTCCAGTCTAATGGCGCTGGAATCGGATTACTCCATTGCATCTGTGGCCAAGGGTACCGAGATAATGAGCATTAGATAGCTTGTCCAAGACTATCACGCGATCACCGTTGACGGGATTCAAACTCCGTATGTTTGAAGTACGTTGTCTGCCCACTAGCCGACTGAGTCACGCTGCTCTAATGATTCTGTCTTTTTTTCCTATTTCAGAGAACGAGAGAGAGAGAAAAAACCATCATGTGCAATACCGATCTGATGATCTTATAGTCTTTTTCAGCGTCGTAGAGGAAGAACATATACACGCACAGTGGGCATTTTTTGCTAGAGCAGGCGGACTTTAGCTTTATGAGTGAACTAAAATTTCCTGAACCATTTTTTTATAGGTTTTTGACGATTCTCTTTCTAATGGCATGAGAGTTGAATTTTGAAAAAGTTTTCTAAGGTGTTTTCCAGAGATCCGGTCTCTGGAAAACCCTTCAGAAAACTTTCTCAATATTCAGAAACGATGCCACTGGAAAGAGTATCGTCAAAAACCTATACGAAACATGTTTTGAGTCGCTCAGGTTATTTTATCTTGAAATTCAAATTTTCAGCACGAAATTGTTTGTGTGAATCTCAAAAAAAAGCCTTTTTGTCTTTCTGTCGTGTAAAATTTCTAGAATTCAAAATCGAGCCACCGAAACCAGATGAGTTATACACCATTCGATGCAGTTTTTCATGCTGATTCTTAATATGTATATTTTATGCAAAAGAACATGTTTTTAAGATGCAGAAAACGCAGTTTTACCCCAAAAACCGAGGGATCTTTGAAAATCTGACCAGAGCAGCAGTTAAAGTTTCGCAACTTTTCGCTAATACTGTAAGTGTAGGAGGTATTAGTGCTTACTTTGACCAAAGATTAAGATTCAGTGAGATTGTGAAAGTTTGGGAAACTCTTTGAACCAAGTATACAATTTGGAAATGCGGTTTTACCCAGAAACGTTTCTATTATTTTTTAAAATAAGTGCACAAGATGAAGTTTTTGCATGGTGTTGGATAGAACAGATTCTTCTGATTCTGAATATGTCCTTAGGTTGCATTTATAACCGAATTTTTATGAAGAAAATCCACTTTTCCTAAATAGTTAGTATATTTCACAGAGAATTTTCCATCAGTCATTTCTCTGCGGAAAGATGCCTTTAGACAAAAGTTTCTTTTGCCGTTAAATAGCCCACGAAATGAAGTAGATGATGTGATATTCAAATGAGAAAAAAGTGAACTTCGCCTTTTTTCCCAAATGTCCGCCTGAATGCCCACTGTGACACGTCTGTCAGAATA